AGCATTTCACATTGACTCAATTCTTCCATTAACCTCTGTCATTGGGCACCACATCTTCCAGATTCTCTTTCTGGGCCCTTTATTGCCTTCACGTTAGCTTTCATCAGGGCCAGCCCTCCAGTCATTTTGCTCTATATGCTTTCACTTCCATAGTATTACTAAGTGTACTGTGAAATTCACAGAATCTACATTTCCTATTTTGATTTTTTTCACCTTCTAGGCTCCTAAATGCAATAACTTATGGGTAACCTATTCTTTGATGTCCTACAGGCACCTCGTATCATCCTTTCTGCAACACAGAACTCATGATCTTTCTTGTTAAACTTGCTCTTTCAGTGGTAGTTTCTCTCCAGGTTATAGCATCATCCTTTGCCCAGTAACCGAGGCCAGAAACCTGGGGATCTTTTATTAGAGTGCTTTCTCTTCCCAAGTCCTACACCCCATATCCAGTTCTGTTGATTGTGCTTCCTGTGTATCTCTTGAATTTGTCCACTCTTCTTCATCCCTACTGTCTTTACCTTCTTTAGTTACTAATCATATCTAGCCTAAGTACTGTAGCAACACAACAGTCTGTCTTATTTATAACTAGCCTGTGGTAACAGTTTACTAAGTGGAGTGTAGTACAGAATTCCCCACTTAGGTAATGATGCTTCATTGCTATGTCAAATTTATGCCACAGGTTGAATCATCTTTTCTTTACAACTGCCATATCCCTTAACTTTCCATCCTGTTAACAGCACCTCTAAATACATCAATTTTACCCTCTCCAACCTCTTGCCCACACCGTAGTCAGAATGATTATTCTAAAGAGCCAATCTGACTTGTCATTCTTTTGCTCAGTCTTTAAACAGCGCTTCTCATTGCCTCCAGGATAAAGTCCAAAGGGCCCTCTGTGATTGGACTCCTGCTTCCCTCCACCCATCTCCAGCCTCACCTGCTGCATGGCATGCTACAACTACTCTCAATTACTTCAAGTTTCCAATTATTGCAATGTAATGGAATTACATCTGCATCTTGTTACATGCTTCCTTTTGGAAGACCCCCTTTCCTGACATAACCTTTACCTGTCAGTCTTACTGTATCAGATTTCAGCTTACTAACTCCTTTCGGTGGAAGGATTTTTCTGTTCTTCTACCTCCCCAAATTAGGGAAGTGCTTCTAGAACATTTTGTGCTCATCCCTTCTTGTATTCTAATTGTCTTGTCTACCCATCCTTATTATATCCCTCTATAGTCTGTAAGCTCCTTGACGGCTCCTTATGTGCTGTTGGAATCCCTGAAGAGAGGGCTTTGCATACCTTATGCTGTTTAGTCAGCACGACCAGCCTTCATAGTGGGTACCACATCATTCCTGTTTTACAAGTAAGTAAGCAAAGAGAGTTGAAGAAACTTGTCCTGAGTTACCAAAATAGATAAAAACCAGACAACTTGATGCTAGAGCCAGTCCATCACTAAATCCTTCACCTTCAAATTCCTTCTCCACATGTTTTGGCATTGACCTAAAATATTCTTCTTTGCCATCCATCAGGTCCCTAGGCATGCCTGCCTGTCATAGCCTCTGTCATGTGGCTCCTATCTGCCCTGTTGGCCTGGTACCAGCCACTCCCCAGGACTTGATACTGCTGTTGCAGAAATACCACCGACTCCACACGGTCCCGTCCTTCTCTAAGTGTTGGTCTGTCTACCAAAATGCCCCTTGTCACCTTACCTTTCTGGAGAAATCCTGTTCCTCCTTCAGAACTTACTCCATAAGTGTTCCTGTTCACTCTTTCCCCATCCCTTTGCAGACACCGTAGCGACTCCTGCCTCCATTCTCAGAAGCTGTGCCACTTCGGCAAGTTACTGCTTTAGTTTCCTCACTTGGACAATGGCAGCAGTAAGACTGCTTTCTCATGGAGCTGCTGTGAGGGTGTGTTAAGCACTCGGCATGGGGCTTGACACACCTTTAAGTGCTCGAAACATTTAGCAATTATTATTTGCTCATCCCCATTCCTCTATGTAGCTAGGCCTACTTGGGTACTACCCAAGTTCAACACAATAGCATGATTTCTTCACGTGGAAAAAGGAAGCACCCACATATCACTTATATTTTAGCACAGCACCTGGCATATTTTGGGCTTTTATTAAGTAATCAAACTGGACAATTTCATTTCCACCACCAGTATTTACCTAATGATTGCAGCCCTTTGGATGTTCCCTTCTTGGGATTCTTTTACTACAGATGGACTGATGATATGCTGCCTTGCATTATATGTAGAAGCATCGTCTCAATGAGGTTTCAAGTGCCTCCAGGCAGACACCATCTCTTACATTGTCTATCTGCCCAACAACAGCTAATATTTCTAACTGCAAAGTGGGTGTTCAGCAGTTACCGGTGAATGAAAATATTCTTGCCCAAGCACGGGAGGCCTCACCTCATTAGTAAGTCCCCAGTCTCTTAAGAAAAGTTAGCTAACAACCCTTCTCCTGATTCTCCTTCCCTTAGAATTCGCATTTATTTGTATGCCTCTGTCAAGTCCTAGCTTCCCTTTCCTAGTTAATCCCCATCAAGGCCCAGTAGAGGGCACTATACACCCGAGGATTGCTCGTGTGAGTACTGCTGGCTCACTGCAGATATTCTCAATGGAAAGGCTCCAAGTTTTTTTTATTTTGCCTGCATTTTCCATGCCCGGGCCACATTAGCTTAAAATAAATGCTGCTGGACAATAATAATGGTGACTTCATCCCTGCCACCCTGTATATCTGATGGTCAAGACGACTGTCAGTACAATCATCAATTATGTTGGAGGAGTGGAAGAACCCTTACCACACTCTTTGGGATGTGGGCAGGAATAGCTACTTGAGGCACTGCAGAGCAATCTGTCCTGCTTGCCTGGCCCCGTAGTATGGGGGTGAGGGAGAAGGAATGGCAAGGTGCTACACTAAAATAGAGATAGCCACAGTCCTTTCTCAGCCCCTCAGGATCCCTCAAGGCTACAGCTTAGAACTAAGGACCAGGGAAGCCAGCAATATTGGAAAAGTCATATATATAAGCCGAGAGACTATCTCGATCTCTTCAGCAACTTAACTTTGCCACCTCCTAAATAATTTCTACACTTCAACTTTTTCTGTATTAAAACGAACCTGCACCAAATGATCCCACATTCAGCCTCACTGATCTCACTCCCCAGCTGTATGCACCTGGCAAACATACACTAGGGAAGTCATGCTCAAAAAGAAGTCATGGGATTGGCTGAAGGGGAATAAAGATGAGAAGACTAACCCCACACTACAGTAAACATTCTATTTGTATGTGTACAGCTCCTAGCTTTGAGTTTGTAAGTTTCAAGTATGTGAACTTTTGCAGATGTCTTCTTTCACAAAGACAATAAACCCCACAATGGTAGGGAATGTCTTTAATGTACCTCCATACCACCTGGTTGGCTCAGTGTCTAGCATGCGGTTCAGAAAGGCTGATGGCTAAGAGGCATCACCATCTCCTGGCTAAAGCAGAAGACAGCAAGTCCGTAACATCCTGAGGAACTGAAAACGTATTTGGAAAACTTCTGATTAAAGAGAAAGAATGAGTTAGATACTGAGAATCACGTTCCTAGTCTAGTTTAAAATTACCCGTCCCCTTCAAGAAGATGGAGAGTTCGCTGGAATATCTATGTCTCCTGGACTTTATCTTCCTTGATGCATACTCATTTGAGAAGCCAATCACACTTGGGAAAATATCACAGTAAACTCTCCTACTCAAAGTTGGGCAAAATGCGCAAGTAGATTTCATCTACTGTATGTGAATGTTGGTGTGTGTCTCGGAGAGACAGGTGAGTTTGTTTCTCCTTTGGTAATGTTTCTTTTCTAGGTTACATTCACAGGCAATTTTTAACTTCTTGCAGCGGCAGGATTCCAGTGATACTTGTGACAATGGTGAGGAAGTAAGTCACTCTGCCTCCTGCTGGCCACAAACAGAAAGGTTGAGCTTTTGGCTTATGACCAGAGGTCACATTTCTCCTTCACAGACTTAAGAACTTATGAAGGAATGGAAGACTAAAAGGGAAAAGGAAGAGTGGGCTTCCTTTTTTGCTTAGCCTATACTAAGCTCTAGGTGTTAATAAACTAGATCAGATTCCTTATTTTGTGAACCAAAACCCGAGGTTGACACATCTTCTACACTAGCTACACAAACAAAAGGGATGGACAGGAGTCCAGAAAAGCCCTGATCTATACGCCAATATCCCTGTTCCCTCTCCCTGAGTGATGGAAGCGGCAAGCCCAGTCACATCCTGTATTAAGGGCCCCTGTTCCTTAAAACTCAGGGCCCCATACCAGCTTCTCCCCTGAATGCTGTCTTCAGTTTCATTTTCTTCCCTTTCCCCAAACCCCAATAAAACACACCAACTGCTTCAGAATATTTCTGGGTTGTGTTTTTTTGTGGGTCATCTTCTTTTTTTTTTTTTTATTTCAAATACTCAAAAAGTCCCCTGGGCTCTGTGGGGCTCCCCACGCTCATGGCCCCTTTCCCCACACTCACTGCCCTTTTCCCCACAGCAAATCTATTTCAAGGACAGCACTTTTTAAAATGAACAATTAACATTGGGTTCTCAGCTTGCTCTGCGGGACCAGAGGGGTTGTTTGCTTCTGTCATCTTTAGATGGACAGTTTCTTTTATCTGACCCCAGGTCCCCAGCCACATCTAAGCAAACAAGGCATTTTTCTACAGAGCTGAATCAGAACTCTTCATCTGGAATCTGCTCCACTCCTCCCCCTTACACCCATCCCACACCAGCCACATGGTTGGGAAGGAAGATAGTCAGGAATGTTTTTATCAACTCCAAGTCCTATTTCATATCCCCCACAAATTTCCCATCCCACCCTCTCACAACCCCCCCACCCACCCCCCAGGATTTCACTGAGATTTCTCCCAACAATTATTTGGAAAAAAGGTAAAACAAAAAAGGTTCAGGGTCTTGGTGCTCAGCCCAAGGGGCTCCATGCGCTGGGACACCGACGGGCAGGGGCTTCTGCCTCTCCAGCCCGCACCCGAGCCACCTCCTGACCCCTGGCTGCCAAAGCAGGGAGGGGCAGGAGCCAGCACAGGACCCAGGAGGGCAGCGTCTCAGGATCTGGCGGAGCCCCGGGCAGCATCATTCAACTTGGCCACTGCGGACGAACACAGAAGAAGAAAAAGAAAACACTGTCAAGTAATAAGGGAAAAAATTCGAAGTTCCATCCCAGTCCCTACCCCATGACTCTTCCACACTTAACAATCATTAGGCTACCTGGCTCATGCCTGAATCTGATCCACAGACAGCTGGGGAGGGAGGGGGGAAGGGAGAGAGAAGGAGAGAGAGGTAGAGAAGAGAGAAGGGGGAGGGGAGAGAAGGGGGAGGGGAGGGAAGGAGAGGGGAGGGAGGGAGGGAGAGGGAGAAGGGTGGTGGTGGGGAGGTAATTTCAGTTTTTTTCTATCCACAAAAAGTGTTCTTTACCTTTTTGGAGATACCCATGAAAGCAATACAGAAAATTCTTTAGACAAAGATCACAATAACTGGAGGTTTGCAGGGGCATAAGCTGCCTGGCTTAGAGCAGGCTTGGTTTCACAGGCATGGCCACAGTCAGCTGTACGCAGCAGCAGAGACTGACGGGGGGCTAAGAGTGATGAGGTGGTGACAGCATGTAGTCCACGGCCAGACAACACACGTGTTGTTCTGAGTGGATTTAATAATCTAGGTTTAATCAAAGCAATTTGGATCTGGATTTGGGAATGACCCTTCTTTGCCATGGACGTGATGTATTTCATGCTGTGGAAATAGGTGGCAAATACAAAATGTAGCTTGTTTCTTTGTTTCTTATCCTTGAAGATGACCAGGTAGAGAAAGAGCAAGATCAACAGTTTTCTGATTTCCCTATTTTTTCTATTCCTTCCTAAAAACCAGACTTGTGACCTCAGTCTTGAAGATTCAAATGACCAATAGAGAAAGCAGCTGAGACAGAAAAGAAAAAAGTACAAAATTCGAGAAGATCGGAGATGAAGAAAACGTACAAAATTATATATATATTTATATATATAATAACATGACATATCTATGTACAACATGGCTGGGACAGTTGAGGAAACTATACAAGGATGTTCAGCATTTTCCCCTTCCCACAAGGACTTTAGACTAAGGAAGACAGCATGAGGAATGAAGCAAGAAACACAAAAATTATATACAATTACAAGTGACAGTCAAGGAGTTTGGGGGCCAGGAAATCCAGGGATCCTGCTCTCTCCATTCCTTCCTCACCAACTCTCTCCTACCCCATCTGAGTGACTGCCTGAAAAGTGAATGGCTGGTCAGGAAAGGAGTATACACACCTGCCAATCACTCTGCATGTGCACCAGCAAGTTCATGGTCATTCTCCTGCTAAATCTTTTCTTTTTTTTAAGTTTTATTTAAGTACTCTCTACACCCCACATGGGGCTCGAACTCGCGCATGCTCTTCCGACTGAGCCAGCCAGGCACCACAGGTCATTCTCATCAGCCCAAAGGTTTGATGTATTAGGATTTGTGAGGTGAGAGAGCAAGAGAGAATTACAGAATCTTGTCCTCTTAAACAGTTAGTTGTTGCCCTGGCCCTCTCTGTCATAACCAGCAGTAGGATTCAGGCCAAGCTAGTGATAAGCAGACTGAAGACGCTGGTCACCTGCACCCCTCTCCTCCATCTGCTCTTGAATCTCCACTGCTGCTTCTCATCCCACAAGAGCTGAGTTACTGAGCCCTAGGAAGGCAGAGATTTATCAGTGCTCCATTTCTCGCCCCCTGACCATCTTCCTCCACCAGCTTCCTCCACGGTGAATCATCTCCTAGGAACCTGCTGCTCCAGCCCCACCACAGTACCGAGGCGTGGAGGCTGGCTCAGTTTGCCCCTTTTTTTCTGGTCTCCTTAGCAGTACACCTGGCATCTGATCACATCTGAAACATGGGACTCTACATGTGCGTGACTAAGCACGTGTCCTCAGGCCTGCAGCCTGGCTCCCAGAGCAGCTTTTTAGCAGCAAAGGCCCAGACTGGGGACCAGGAAAGTGGGTGGGGGTAGAGGCAAGAAGCTTCCATAGAAGCTAGCTTCTTAGAACTTTTCCCTTGGCCTTAAGTCCATGATACTTATGAGGCCCTCTTGCCTGAATTTATAATCCCCAAATCTCAACTTCCTCTCTCCCCATGTAGTCCTCTAATGGTTCCCCTTTGTAGGCTCACCCACAGGCCTTCCTCACTTAGTTTTACAATGAATAGCACAGACTTTTTTTCAGCTGGCAGTTACAGGATTTTAAAATTCTAACCCATCTTATCTATATTCAGCTCTTTTACAGATGAGGAAATAGAAATCCACAGAGGTTAAATGACCAAGGTTACATATCAGTTCTGCTGAGATGGAGTGCAACTAAAACCCAGATATCTTGACTCCAAAGCCAGTGCGAATCTTTCCACTATCCCATGATATTTTCGAAAGCAACATGCTGGAAGAGAGAGAGAAGGTGCCCATTTCATGTGAATGAAGTTCTCCAATCTTTACATTATTTAAGAGCCACGGCAACCTGTAAGAGACACTCACTGAGTAAGGGAGGTTAGGTGGGCACTGTAGTTTTAGGCAAGCAAATCAGTTTTTCTTTTTGAGGGTTCTCTAAACCTGACACAATGGAAACACAAAGCAATAGCAGCCTAAGGGAAAAAACACTTAGAAGCACAGAAAACAGATCTCATTCAGTCTACCTTTCCCAGCTATGTCGGATTAGCTTCTAGATGGAAATCTACCATATTATTCCCAAGGCTTAGCCTAACCAATTTTGGGATATTCTCTTCCAAAAGGAGAAATCACATCTCCCCAGTTTCTCATACAAAAGAAAAAGAGCATTTGCAGCATTATCCAATCCTAGTCTCTTATTTCTGGGCCCCTACCTGGGCTACAGTGAGGGTGCGAAAATCTCAATTTAATCAAAGAAATGAACTCAGAGCCCCTTTTCAACCCACATCACCTTCTCAGCAGCCCCCAGGAGAATCACAGTCATTTCTGGCTAGCAAGCTGAGAAGATCTAACTAGGTGCTCATTTCATCCCTGCCTATGATATATTAAAGTCCAGTGGGTGAGGAAGGGGAGAGAAGGGGGGGCCCAGGTTACCCCGCAAGCTTGCTGGTGACGAGTGAGGACTTTCTCTGGGGCAGGTCCTGTGGGGTGGGGATGTGGTCACCAGTCACCAGATTCTTGTCCGGTCCTGCACTTGGCAGCTGCTTGTTCTTCATCTTGGCTTTGGCCATGTTGTAGTCTCCTGAGTCAAAGTACTTTTGCTAGGAGACAAGAGGGATGTTTAGGTGAGTGAGGAACTCTGGCCTTCCTCGAAAGCAAGGAGACCCACATCCATTATAAACCCTCATCAATGCTTAGATTTTTCCAGTCTTCCTTGATTAACCTCATTACACAAATAGTTTAGCATTAATTACATGTACTTATGTCTTGTCTCCAATGTGTTCTGACATTTCAGATTGTAGGCAGTTTCCTAGCTACAGTAGACATTTTATGAGCAAAGAGATAACCCCTACATCCTTTATACACCCATCAATACAGGATGGTTCAACCAAATTACTGACTATTCATTAAGGCTTACTGAGGACCTATTAGTCTCCAATGGGCTTGGTCCTGGGGAAATTAACAAGACATACAGAAGTGTCAATCTGGAGCTATCCTAGCAATCAGCAGGAGATCAACCTCAAGCCTACAACCTCAAAATTAAAAATGATTCCCTCAGACCATGAATAGAAATGGTTTGTTCATGAGGATAATGTACTTTTCCTCTGACTCCCACTGCTCCCACACATGTTCCATGGCTATGACAGCCTGCCCACGCCTGCCTTGCCTGCAGCAAGGTAAACTGCAAATCAGCATCACATCATCATCTGTGCCTAAGACTCAATAACTAGGATTCTCCACAGGGATCTGTTTCACCGTCTATTTCATCCACACCTGGGAACGCCCTTAGGCAGTTTACTGCCTTACAATCTCTCAATTAGCTTCAGGTACCTACGGGGACTGAGAAACCTGATTGGGAGCTAGATGGCTATGAAAGCAGACCCTCCCTTGGTGAGGACCACCACTCTGGATGGAAAAATAAGTCTCTTGAGAGAGCACAGTTAATGGTTGGTGCTAATTTCAAGGGTCTGAAGAAAGCTATTCATTTCAAGCTGAAGAAATCTATAGGACAGATGGTTTGATCTTTTTTTTGAAATCATGCACCCCAAAACTTAGCTCTAATCTTAAAAAGTGCAGTCCTAAAACTCCCACCATTTAAACAGGCAAATGCCTGGGGGAGTCAGCATTTCAGTTTCTAACATCCTTCCTTCCCCCAATCCTCCAATGCCCCCCACATCCAAATGTCTCAACATTAAGCCTTCATACCCTGTATGATACCATATTAGGGATTTACAATAATTTGCCTCGCTCTTTACAAGTTTTTAATTCCTCTCTACTACTGCCCAACAGCAGAACCTCTGGATAAACATTCACAAGAGGCTCTACAGATCTCATCCCTAAAGACCCTTTTGGCTCCAGTAAGAGGATAAGAGATTGGGTCCCATACCCCTTTCTGGAGTCTCTTCATGAGGAAGTCGGAGCCTCCAGGCTTTTGTCCTAGGCTTGGATATTTGGCCTTTAGCTTTGCCTCCTCAGCTCTCTCAGGGAGAATACCTTCTTTCTCCTGTGTGTCCTGGAGGAAACAAATGGGCCAATTAAATTAAAAATTGAGAAGCAAGGGCACCTGGGTGGCTCAGTCAGTTAAGTGGCTCAGGTCATGATCTCATGGTTTGTGAGTCTGAGCTCCACATTGGGCTTTGCACTGATAGTTCGGGGCCTGCCTGGGGATTCTCTCTGTCTTGTCTCTCTCTCTCTGTGTCCCTCTCCCACTCACACTATGTCTCTCTCAAAATAAACCTAAAAAAAAAAGAAGTTTTTATTTTTAAGAGAGCATGTGAGTGAGTGTGCGCATGCCCCAGAGCAGGGGAGGGGCAGGAGAGAAAGGGAGACAGAGGATCCAAAGCGACTCTGCGCTGAGAGCAGAGGGCCTGATGCGGGGCTTGAACTCACGAATGGTGAGCCGACCTGAGCCCAAGTCAGACGTTTAAACTACTGAGCCACCCAGGTGCCCCATAAATAAATAAACTTAAAAAAAAAATTGGGAAGCAACCCTTCTAATATCTAGAATTTTTTAATGTTTATTTATTTATTTTTAAAAAAAAAAAAATTTTTTTTTCAACGTTTTATTTATTTTTGGGACAGAGAGAAACAGAGCATGAACGGGGGAGGGGCAGAGAGAGAGGGAGACACAGAATTGGAAACAGGCTCCAGGCTCTGAGCCATCAGCCCAGAGCCCGACGCGGGGCTCGAACTCCCGGACCGCGAGATCGTGACCTGGCTGAAGTCGGACGCCTAACCGACTGCGCCACCCAGGCGCCCCAATGTTTATTTATTTTTGAGAGAGACAGAGTGTGAGGGGGTTAGGGGCAGAGAGAGAGGGAGACACAGAATCCAAAGCAGCCTCCAGGCTCCGAGCTGTCAGCACAAAGCCTGACGCGGGGCTCGAACCCACAAACCATAAGAATGTGACCTGAAGTCATGGGACGCATAACCAACTGAGCAACCCAGGAGCTAGTAACCTAGTAACTTTATACTATCAACTTTTCCTGGAAATCTACCCTCTTGTGGATATACTGTCTCTACCCTGCTCCTAAACAAACCTAGACTTTTGTTCAAATCTTTAAAGCTCAAGATAACTGTATTGTGAGAAAACACACACACACATACACACACACTCTGCTTCTCACACTACGCTTAAGGAACCACTTCAGTGACTTGGAGTTAAAAATAGTACCTAAACACAATTTTTCAATCAAGAGCAAACCATAGCTTATTCAGCAAAGGAGCTAGGAAAGAAAGAAAAGAGCTAACTAGGGCTTCTGGTGATCCAAGAGGAGTAGGAAACTTCCCTGGCTATCCCTAACACACAGTACAGGTCAAACAGGAAATCAAAGGGGATAATTCTGCTGAGATGTTCCCTTTTACCCCAAGTCTAAGGCAGTCATCTGATTTAAGCCTCTCTGAGCTATGTGGCCTTCTCCAAATGTCTCTACCTTAATAAAGGAACAACGTTGCTTCAGCATTTCCATAAACCTTAGGTAGGAAGGTAACAGGTAAAGAGATAAAAATGACACTATTTTTAACCTCAAGAAAATTAAGACACAGGAGGTTCACTAGTATTTACCCACAGTTTTTGCCAAAAGGTCAACACCTTCCCCAGTGGGGCAAGTGATGGAAGTTTAGGGAACATGCCAAGAACTTGGAATTGGCTTGCAGGGGCTCTCACCGTAGTTATTACTCTCTTCTTGTTTTTGTGGGCCCCAATGCCCTTTTCTTTAGTGACTTTTTAAAGGGACCTAAAGCCGGGGTGCCTGGGTGGCTCAGTTGGTTAAACATTTGACTCTTGGTTTCTGCTCAGGTCATGATCTCATGGTTTGTGAGTTCAAGCCCTGAGTTGGGCTCTGCACTGACTAAGGAGCCTGCTTGGGATCCCCTCTCCCTCTTTCTCTCAAAATAAATAAATTAAAAAACATTTTTTAAAAAAGGACCTAAGGGGGTGCCTGGGTGGCTCAGTCGATTAAGCGTCCGACTTCGGCTCAGGTCATGATCTCGTGGTCCATGGGTTTGAGACCCGCGTGGGACTCTGTGCTGACAGCCTGGAGCCTGGGGCCTGCTTCGGATTCTGTGTCTCCCTCTCCTTCTGCCCCTCCCCACTCCTCTCAAAAAAATAAATGTTAAAAAAATTATTTAAAAAAGGACCTAGGGGCGCCTGGGTGGCTCAGTAGGTTAAGCGCCTGACTTCTGCTCAGGTCACGATCTTACGGTTAGTGGGTTCGAGCTCCGCATCAAGCTCTCTGCTGTCAGCACAGAGCCTGTTTCAGATTCTCTGTCCCTCCTATCTCTGCCTCTCCCCCGCTCACAAGTGCCTCCCCTGCGGGAGGGAGGAAGGAAGGAAGGGAGCGAGGAAGGGAGGGAGGGAGGGAGGAAAGACCTAAGAAAGAAAGGAAGAGAAAAGAAAGAAAGAAAAGACCTAAGGCAATTTGTGTCTCTTTTTAATGTAATTATATTCCCTTCCCTTGAAAATCTGGCAGATATATCAGGTGCCTTTCACAACGCCCTGAGCCCAGTACTAAATGTTGTAAGTCAAATACAAGCCCCAAGAAGAGGTTTATTTGGGGTGTTTTTATCACAGAATTGTGGGTGAACTAAGTCCCATTGCCTTGGAAGTCGGGGTCGTGGTGGAAATAGGGTGGAGTCTCTCTTGTCACGATTCCTTTCGTGTCTTTCCTAGGTTTAATCTCCATTATGCTTTATGGATCTCTAGTCCTCTTCAGTCCTGTTAGTTCCCAATTGAGGCTGGGGAACAGTGGGACCCCAACCGTCAAAATAGGTCTCTTGAGAAAGTTGCCGCCTTAAAGTAGCCATGATTAATAATTACTTCTCCCTTCGCCCAATGCTGGTCCTTCTTAATCGTCTCTACTTCCACCTGTATCCTTTTGATTGGGAACCCAGCCTAGCTGCTAGGCCTTTTACCCCCCTCTACCAATAACACACATCGCTTCTCAGGACCACCTGCCCCCTTTCATTCACCCAGTCTTTCCAAACACCCGCCCCGCACCCAAGCTTGGCCAATGATAGCACCTTTTCAATGTGTTGAGCAGTAGGCCTATTGGCCAATCAGAAAGAGTAAGGCACTGACTGACAACGGGCCCAACTAACCAGCCCCAGAGCTGCAAGCTGTGTTAAAGCTCACCCTGCGTGACGCAAGAAGTGGCCAACCCCTGCAGAGCCTGAGACCATGGCGACCAATCCGCACTGGTGGGAGACCGTCTCCCGCCCCATCACGGTCGCCCCCAGCTCGCCGGCCCGCACCCCCTCCATTTCACCTGCTTCTCCTCGCCGGTCTCCTCCGCAGGGTTCTCCTCTTCTTGTTTCTGGGACATGGCGGGACCAGGACTGTGAAGTGTAGGGGGCCCGGGAAGTCAACCGGAGAAGGGAAGGGGGAGGGGAAACGGGGACAACCTGCGCTGCTTCTTCGGCTCCTGTCACTAGGGTTGCTCAGTCAAAATGGCGGCCCCTGCCTGTGACGTTATGGCCGCCCCTTCCTATGGGAGCCAATGGGAGTGAGGTAGATAGGGCAATGACGTAACGATCTGCCAATAGTCGCTGGCTAGAGGTGGGTTCTTTGAAGGCGACAGGCAAGCTGGAACACCAATGTGGACAGAGAGTGAGCTCCGAGGACCAATTGGGAGCCCGTGGGGGTGTTAGCGGGCGGCGCAGCTAGCTTTGGCATTTTTGCTCCTTTGGTGGGACGAGACTTCTGTCTACGGCCCGGCACCCAGAAGGCTTTGCTGAGCTTCAAACTGGAGAGCGAAAAGATGGGAACCTTTCATTTTCAGATAAAGAGGATTAAGCTTTGTGCAGTGTTAGCAGAAAACTCTCAATCTTCAGAAAATAATTTGGAAGTCAGAGTATACCTTAAATTGGTACTCAACACTGTTGCCATGTATGTACTTGGTGTTTGGAGCGGAGAGACTGGGACCCCAAACCAAGTTGTCTTGCAAAGAAGGCTTTACGTTCCATGATTTAACACTTCTGTACAGTTTTTTACTTGTTCAGGGTCAGCCCATGGAGACTAAGTTCCTTGAAACGGAGACCACAGTTCTAGGTACATGGTAAACAGTAAATACAGTTAACACCAGTTAACGTATCCTGAGTCACAGTTCAACAGTATTTCTTGAGCGTCAGTGTGTAGATGGTAATATATTAGTTTTATGGCGGTACGTATAGAATAAGACAGTCTCTGCTCTTAGCTTAATGGACATGTGGGGAGGGGTTTCACAGTGTGCCAGGTGTACCCTCAGATTAAGTAGACACATCCTCCTGGAGTGTCAGTCCACATTTCTATATTAAAAACAAACATTAGTTTAATACTAATAACACTGCAAAATTCATACTAAAGTTTAATTTTCCAGGCAGCTTCTTGTGACAGCCTTGGGGCTATCTGTTCATTTTTTTGTATAATTAGGTGTACTTCTGGAAAAGTCTGAGAAGCACTGTAATATGCAATTATACCAGGCAAAATCTGGTAAGCATTGAAATAAAAGTGTTAATAAAGTGTTATAGGGGTTCGTAGGAAGAGTCATATTCAGTTTAGATTCCCTACCACCTGTGACCAAGAAAAAAAAAGACTTCATGGGGTGGGGGGTGGCACTTGAAATAAGGTTTTTTTTGTTTTGTTTTTTATTCAAGTAAACTCTACATTCAACGTGAGACTCAAACTCATCAACCAGCTTGTGACTGAATCAGCCAGGTCTCCCTGAGATAAGTTTTAAAGAACTCAGCAGTTTTCTGGGTAAAGGTGAAGGAAGGAAGGGTATTCCAGGTGATAGGTGCAACACAAAGGCTAGAAAAATAGAATCGAGTGCAGAACATGGAGGGCTTTGAATGCCAGGATAAGGCACTTGTGAATAATTTAGTAATCCATGAGAGAGACATTTAAGGTTTTTAGGCCAGAGAGTGGACAGATCAGAACTTCCCCTTTAGGAAGATTCATTTGGAGATAATGAATAAAAATAATTCAGAATTCCATGCAGAAAGACCCTAGAAGTGGCAGTCTAGCCAGGAGTGCACTACAATACTCTAGGTGGAAGAGAATTGGGATTTAAGCTAGAAATGTAGTTTATAGAAAACTGTGAACCTAATTGAGAAAGTCTGTGTCTATGAGATTCACAGCTGAGTGAATACAGGGAATGAGGCAGCCATGTGCTTCAGGGTAATATTTGCAGAAATAATTCAAGAAGAGAAGTCAATATGAGAATGGAATTGGAAACAGAAAATGAGGAGTTCAGCTTTGAGAACATTGACTTTTTAAGACAGATGGGCCATTTGGTGGAGTTATCCAGGCAATGAAGCCTTTGGATAAATGACCCGAGATCTCCAACATAGCTACCATTTTAGAGGTCTAGGAAATGTAGACCTAGAGTTTGGGAGAAAAGTAGAAGGTCACTATGAGCAAAACTTGGACTTCTTCATGTAAATGTAAGTAAAGTTGTGGAAGTAGATGAGATCACCTTAGGAGAATGAAAAAGAGTCCCAAGATGGAAAACTGGATAAAAGTTGGCAAGGGACACAGACACAAATGATCAGAGGGGTAAGGAGAAGAACCAGGAAAAAAGTGACAGAAGTTGAAGATGGAGGGGACAAAATTGCATGCAGTTAAAGAGTGAGGAAGTGATAGCAATATTCAACAGTAAAGCAGAGGAAGGAATTAGAATAACGAAAAGGAGGCAGAACTCGGTTTTCTTTTTGGGAAAACAGACACGATTCAAGCATGTTTTCAGAAAAGGGCAAGAGGCTAATTGAGAGAAACTAAAAAGGTAATTCGTTTTGTTTCAGTTTATTTATTTTTGAGAGAGAGACACACACACACAGAGCGTGAGTGGGGGAGGGGCAGAGAGAGAGAGTGAATCTGAAGCAGGCTCTGCACTGCCAGGGTAGAGCCTGATGCAGGGCTTGAACTGTGAGACCGTGACCTGAGCCGAAGTCAGACACTTAATGAACTGAGCCACCCAGGTTCTGCTGTAATTATCCATTTTAAAGAGAAGATAAAGAATTAAAGTCTCAGGGGAGATCATTAGATCAAGAGGGAGAGAAACAGATGTGTTGAAGGGGAAATTGTACAGAGAGATTTTGAAGTAGTTAAACATTTAAGGAAGTCACGTTGAATGTCCTTGCTTTTCTGCAGTCAATCTTTTGAGAATAAAAAGGATGGCAGGGTGGGATAGAGAATCTAGGAAAGGTGGGGGTAGAAACAGCACTATAGAAAATAGCAATGATTCCTAAAAGATCTAAGATTAGATAGGTATGGATTTGTAGTAGTCTTAATCACCATGGCTTTGTGACTTTGGTCAATAACTCCTGGCTGTCTTGATATGGAGAAAACAGCCAGCCTGTTAATAAGGACAAAGGACTGGTAAAGAAGGAACAGTGGAGGGAAGACAATGAGGAAGTCCATATTGGTTTGCCAGTTTGTTGAAATACCTGACCATAGCATCGAGGCTCTCTAGGAAGGACGGAATAGAAAGGCGATGGAGAACTGGGCATGACACAGAGGAAGCTCAGATTTGGTGGGGATGCTGAGAGGCAGAAGAGTAGGAGGTCATAGTGAGGGGAATTTGAGGGTGTATCTAGGAAGGTGGAGAAATTGCAGGTTACGACGAGCTCCAGCCTATAATTGTAATTGATGGTAGATATGCAGGGATATAAAGTCACTGACTTTGATGTAATCAAGCACATGTGAAGTCACAAATGTTGAAGTCTCAGAGCATAAGGATAGGGAAGGGGGTTAGGACAGGGTGACTGTGACCCATAGTCATAGGTGGGAATGAGCTATACGTCTCCAACGTATGTATTTAAACACATAAGTCACCACATTGTGTGCCTTACATTGTGTAGAAAAACTACAGTATTAGGTAAGTATGTATGACACCAAATGGGTTGTACTCATAAGTGTTTAAAAGATCATTTCTAGCTGAGCTGGGCAAGGAATGTTTCAGACAAGGCGGAACCTGAACCCAGACCCTAAGGATGAATAGGAAGGTTGGAGATTGGCAGAGGGTGGGGGGGGAAAGGAAGACAATTTAGAGGACAACCTTATCTTATAAAAGGTTAGAGGGTAACTGAAGACAATGGAAGAGGGAGAGGGAAACTATAGCAAGGGTATCAATTTCCTAGGGGGAGAGAGAGCCTGCTAGCCCAATCTGTATTTTTGAAAATCTCCCTAAGGACAGTCTATAAATAAGGCTAATCTAGGAACCTGTGTGGAAGCAGCAAACCATGAAGCTGTTCAGGTTGCCAGGGTCCTGAGGAGACTCGTAAGTCATAGTCAAGTGTTGGGGTTTCATGAGGACACAGGGGAACCTGATTTCAAGCAGGAAAATTGTACTGTTAGACGGGATTTGTAAAGACTTAACTGGAGTAGCAGGGTGGAGAGTGGACTGGAGGAAAGGCGAGACCAGCTGGACATCTGCTTGTGGTAGGCCAGGTGAGACTTGAGGCCTGATCAAAGGCAGAAGCCATGTAAATGAAGGAGCCGAAGAGACAAATGATACCGGAGGTGGGGAATAAAGATGAGAGAACCAAGGATGAATCCCAGGTTCCTGAGTGAAGTGCCATTTACAGAGAAGCAAATCTAAGAAGAGGCAATTGGAGGGAAGAAAGTAAGGAGAGAAGAAGACCTGAACTTCTTACCTTTTGGGGTTTTTTTCTTGCTTATGTCTGTTTCAGGTCAGGACCTAAATATATTTACAGTATGGGATGGGATATCTGGGAATAACACTGTACAACTTGCCAATGCATAAGCTACTTTCTACAGAAGAATGGCCATAAAAACAAAAACAAAAACAAAAAACGTGAGACTGCAGAAATATCTGGGTCTCTTAGCACCCTCTGATGGGCCAAATTGAGAATATTAGGAAATTAACCAAGCTCTATCATCTCCTTGCCTCCTTAACAAACTTATACTCTTAGAACTGGCCCGAAGTGTAGCCTGAGGAACGGAGCTAAGTGATCAAAATAATACAGTTAAAGATAAATTTCGGGGCACCTGGGTGGCGCAGTCGGTTAAGCGTCCGACTTCAGCCAGGTCGCGATCTCGCGGTCCGTGAGTTCGAGCCCCGCGTCAGGCTCTGGGCTGATGGCTCG